AATTGTCCTGATGAAATATCACCTCTTTTCGGTTCACTAGAGCAGGTCTTTTTTCCTCAAAGCTTGGTTCAAACGCTCTAATTGCTGACAGTATATTTGAGCATTAATTGTTGCATTAGGTGGTAAGAATTCAAAGTGGATTATTCATTGGTGATCCCACCAGATTGAAAGAAGAAACATTTGCCCATGAAGTTCTCTTCTCAGCTGTGGCTGGGGTCCTTTCCCTTTACCAAGCCACTGTCTACGACGCTTAACATTTCGATAAATGATTCATTTTTCGTCGCCAGTCACAAATCTATCCAAAAAAGGTGAAACAAGTTGGTGAGAATGGAGAGAAGAGCAGATGTCAATTCGGGATTTGAGGTTGTTTTCAGACAATTCATGAGGCACCCATTTTCCAAGTTTAGGAACTTTTCCAAGTTTTTGAAGATGATGATGAACACTTGTATGGTTTGAACTGAGAACCACTGCAATTCCTCAAATGATAAAGCAGGATTTTCTTCAAGGGCTGCTTCAAGAAGCTTTTCATCAAACTCAACTGGACGTCCGGTTCGATCTTCATCTTCAAGGGTGAAATCTCCACCTCTGAATTTTGCAAACCATCTTCTGCAAGTTCTTTCATTCACACATTCCTCTCCATAAACTGAGTGAATGTTTCTAGCCGCTTCGGCTGCTGAGTTTCCTTTCTTGAACTCATAAAGCATAATGTGCCTCAAATGATTCTTGGATACTTCCATGTTAGCAGGGTTTTAATCAAACAAAATTTTATTTTATTGTCCTCTGAAATAAAATTTGATCAGTTTAAATGCATCTAAACATAAAAATAATGTTCAGCTCCATTAGACATTATATAATACTCTTTAAATTTCGTTCATCTTACCAAAAAGTTAACATTCGAACAGAACTTATGGGATGACCTGATAGAACTTCAAGTTGCAGTAACATGTGTTTCTATTGAGAAATCATTAACACTGGTTTAATCGTATTTATTTTCAAAATAATTCTATGGGTAAAGACATCACGGAAAAGAAAAAATAAGGTAATTAAAAAAAAAGTCATTCTTTCTATAGTATTAACTCATTTATTTTCACTTACATTTTCTCTAACTCTTAGAGGGATTACACCGGATTATATGATTAGAATTTTCCTAGTGTCCGGACAGGATTCATAAATTAATATATATAAGTTGTATGGATATAAGTTTGTGACCCTGTGTTTCCCGCTTTTGTAGTCATCAGATAATTTGCCTGATGATCGCAAAAGCGTTAAACACAGGGTTACAAACTTATATCCATACAACATATTTATTATGTTAGATTTATGACTGATATTGAATGCTTTTCACTAAGTACCGTGTATATATATATATATATATATATATATATAAAATGGAATTTCACGTTGGTTTCGACGTATGAGGATCTGACAGCTTAATTGATTCAGTTATGAAATTTTGTGCGATAATCTTAAGTGGCATTTAAGACCCGCCAGTGATTTACAAAGGAGGCCACATATGGAGCAAGAGTGAGGATTGTAAGATGAGATTACTGTTAGATTGACTAACGTTTTAGATATTGCTCTCGCTTCTTGAAGATGATTCGGACAAGCAGATTGAAGACTTCTGAGTCTACCAAAACACGTTTATCTCCATTCTACCCGCTCCAAGGCTAAGCGCCAAAGGGTGTTATGTGGTATATTGACAACTGACAAGTTACTCTTCAGTTTGTCTTTGTATCTTAGCCATGGGCGTCCTACATTCCTGTAGCCCTGATCTAACTGGCTGTACATTAGGATCAATATAGCCGTGTCTTCTACTCTAATAGCTTCATGTCTCGCACCTCTCGCCTGTGGAACACCTTTCCCTATTACTTTCCCTGAGAGCTATATTCTCCAACTATTTAAATGTAATGTCAAACGACATCTCCAGTTGCCTTGATCTATCCACTATCCTTCTCCATATCCTCATCCTTTCCTCTATAACTCCTATCTGATCTTGCTCCAAATCTTCTATAACCCCTTGCGTCCTAGTGGCTTCTCGCCTTGTTTGGGGTGAAACGCTTAAAATATATATATATATATATACACACATTTATTTATATATAATTCTCATAATAGAAAAACTGCTTTAAAGATGGAAGGAAAATATCGGTGAACACTTCCACGTAACAAATCCTTTGGTATATAATCCAAGTCGCTTGTAGTAATATAAAATATTAAAACTGATCCACAAAAAGAGCTCAATGTATTTATTATTACTGGTAATAATTTTTTCTTCAAACTTGAATTGCTTGGAATTGTATTGCTGGTATTAAATCCTATTTTTACTCTTTCATCGTGTTTTTACTCCACTTTGGTGGGGTCTAACTATTTGCCCATAGCCGGAACACTAACATGTGTGTGTGTGTGTTTCCAAAAAGTGTATTTCTGGTAATTTTTTAACTTCTGCTGATATTATTGTATTTTGTTTAAAAAAAAAAAGAAAAAAAAAAGAAAAGTGTACTGCTTGTAATAATTATTTCCTCCATAAATTCATTGGTATAATTTTTTTTTTTTTTTTAAAGAGTATTGCTAGTATTACAGCCTATTTTTTCTCTTTCAAAGTTTTGTGACCTCAGTTTGTGGTGGGGGTAACTATTTGCCCATAGCTTGGACCCTAACCGGGTGAGGGTGGACTCGGGAACATCAGCAATTAAGTGGGGCTTCCCTGCTCCTCAAAATCTCCTGCTGTCGGGTGCATAGCCATACCCAAACCGGAGGAGAGAGAGAGAGGAAAAATATGTTGGAATCCCGTCCGTAACTATGTCAGACCTGCAAACGGAGAGCAATGACATCAGTTGGAGTCAACTGTGTTATGGCTGACGTCTGGCGCGACCTTCCCAGGAGACATCAACTAGTTCGGACAAAAGTAAAACCATGTGTTTTTTTTTTTATTTGCTGTATCACTTCCGGATGTAGACGATTACGGCACTCCACATCTTCCCCTATTTTGTAGCCCTTAAGTTATGTCTTGTTATTTCTACCAAACCCTGCTCTACCAGCAATTTGCTCAAATCCATTACAGGCTGCTTTTCCCCGTTTCCTCAATCTGTCCTGTGAGTATCAAATTTTCCAAGCCTTTCTTCCTCATTATGTGCGCCATAAATTTCAACTGTCTCTTCTTGATGTTAGGTATGTTTCCCCCCTTTTCTCTAACACCTTGTTGCTCACATGTTCGGTCCATGTTATCATCTGCAGATCCACATTTCTGTTGCTTCAAGTCATTTTTGAGGAGATGAAATATACGAGTCTCAGAAATATATATATATATATATATATATATATATATATATATATATATATATATATATACACATATAGAGAGAGAGTGAAAGTGTCACAGAAAAAAATGTTAGTACCATTTTTGAGTGTTTTAATAGACTTTTTTTTTCTTACTTTACAATGAAAACTGCGTGTATAGCGGAAATCTTGGACCTTAGTGCCGTTATGTTTCCACAGACTTAGATTTCGGCGCCTCCTGCTATAGAAATTATTGACAGTAATAAGTTGGATTTAAAAAAAAAGAAAAGAAAAAAAGCTTCTATGGCTTCTTGTCTAACATGTCACTCACAAAACCAAATTTTTACTTTCCTGTTGCATTTATTCTTAGCCAAATTTGTGACATTTTCTTCTGATAATCACCGGTCACGACTCCTTGAATAAAAGACAGATTTTGTAGTTTAGACTTTAGTGGGAGGGAGTTGAAATTACTTGCCACCTTCAACCATGGAATATTAACTAAAACAATATACCCCGACTAAAAAAAAAAAAAAAAAAAAAAAAAAATTTTTTTTTTTTTTTTTTTTTAGGTAGGAAACTGTCATATTTAGGTTTTTATCTTGGAAGAGCGTGTGCTTTGGGGTGGGGAGTGGATGTTCTCACTCATGAAATAGCAAATGCAAAAAAAATTTAACTAGCACAAGATAAGTTAATACTCAACAGCTCTAATAGAAGTTTCTTGTTTAACGACATATCAACTCCCTATGGGTCATATTCTTTAGGGGCTTTAAAGTAATAAAAATGTTATTCTGCTTTCACATTTGAAAGCATGGTAGATGATATGCAGCTTTTGTGCGTATACATGTTTGTGTGGCCACTATTACTAGAAGCGGGGATATGTGTTTTATGTTGTAGTTTTGTTGAAGTTATTTTTTGGAATACAGTTTGATTTAAAAATATTGTAGAATACTATATTGATTAATGCCATAAAAGTTCTTTCATTGTTCAGCTGATTTTATTTAGCGGCATATCAACACCTCTATGGCTTATTTAATGCCGAAATTTAATATTTTGAATACAATTTTATGACTTCAACTAAAGATAAAAGTTATTGTTGGTCATTTTACAATAAAAATCTATTTGTATAATTTCATATTGTGTTTTTTTAATATTAAGGTTCACTATTTGCTCAGAGCTGGGACACTAACGGGTGCTACCACTCCAGGTCAGGGTAGACCTGGAGGGCAACAGCAATTAATAGGTACCCAAAACCTTCAATCTTCTGATCAGAGACCTTGCTGCCAGATATTGTTTATCGTCATACCCAGGACTGTCTAATAAATATTAAAAAATTATATTACGAGTAGAATTCATTAGAAGGATGATGACTTTCTCGTTTTTTTTTTTGTTTTTTTTTCTGATCTATAAAATAAAGTTTTATTTTCGAATGCAAAAATTGTCTAATTTATAATGGCTAATTGCAGAGAAATTTCTGTATATATCCTACATAAGAAAATTAAGTGAAAATATGCAGGAGATTTTTGTATGCTCTTAAATTTTACGAATTTCCTAATTTTCGTCCTCAAATCGATTTCCGAAATGCACTTCGGAAGGTATCCACGATCTTTTTTTTTTTTTTTTTTTTTTTTAAAGTAGAATTCATGCATTCGTCAAAAATATTTCAAGCTAGATAACCAAGATAAAAATTTAAAAAGAATAAATCGGTAACCGAACAATAATTATACCGGAGGTACGTCCACGTCACTTTCTGTCTGAAGAGTACCAAAATGTTGCCGAAGAACAACGTTAGAGTTATTTTTAGCATTCAGATCGCATCCTGCCCGAACGAGAACCCTGGCGATTTCTTCCCGTACAGGATCAGTGCGAGGTCTTTCGATAAGTAAATGAAGAGGCGCGTTTCCTTTTTCGTCTGCGGCATTGACATCAGAACCACATTCAATCAACAGCTCAACAACACCGCACGACATTTTCTTCGAAACCGCCAAGTGAAGTACAGTTGTGCTAGTTTCCAAATCATCTTTGCAAAGCGCTTTTGCCAGAGAAACAGCTAGAGACCTGTATTCTGGAGTCGAGGTTTCATTGACGAGATATTGAAGATATCTCAATCCCATTGTCTGCAGGGATTTATATTTCTCTACGTAGAGCAAGATACGGCGGGGATTGCTTCGTAAAAATGGCTTTACGTAATCTCGGATCGTTTCCATGAATTCTGTTGTCAATTCTGAAATTTCTTCGATGGTCGTACCAGTATTTTCTATAATGCAAAAATACTTGTTAGTTAATCTAACAAGGACTTGCCAGCTATAAAATATCTCTCGGTCGTCTTGTTGAGTAACCGAAGCATTTAAACGCATCACGTGATTTAAGAGGGTAAACCTAGTTTTAATGTCGACGTCAGGGCAACGAGATAAGACAACGCAATAAAAGGCTTTCTTTGTAACGAGACTTTCGGGCGAGAGAATTCGATAAAACATGAGAAGCGCGTCAATTAAGAGATCTTTTTCTTCACGGCTGTTTAGATCGGTATCGATTTCGAATTCTCGTGTATTTAACGGGAAGTCCGTAGGTGCGAAGTTCGATTTCGGACTGTTTTGCTTACGGTAAGTTTTGCGCTGGACAATGGACGTATTCCAGAAAGATAAGGCCCTCGTTAGAGATTTAAAAAACACCAGGGCGTAAGCGCCACAATATTCCAAGCTCAGGGTATAGTCATATCGAGCGTAAAAGCGATTTAACAAGAAACGTGTTACCTCTTTGCGTTCTTTGAAATTTGCAAGATCTAAAGCGTTTGCTCCGCTATTATTTCGATGGTAAACTCTATTGTTTCTTTTCTCGATCAAAGATAATATCTCAAGTTTGCCATTTAAAGCAGCCTTCATGAAAATCGTATTCCCCATAGAATCGGCGTATTGAATGTCAGTTCCAAACTTCAGAGCCATTTTTAAATACTCCTCATCTTCTGCGCAATAATGGACATTCATGTCAGAATTTATGTCTACCTTGTTCTCGAAGAGTATTTCCGCTGCCTCGTGGTTTCTCCTCAGGCAGGCATAAACCAGGGCGTTTCGTTTCTTACGGTCATTAATAGATAGGTCGGCTTTAAGTTTTATTAGCTTGAGCAGCATGGAAGTGTTTTGATTTTTTATAGAAAGTAGCAGAGGAGTAAGTTTTTCCCCCATAACTTTGGAGACTGTGTTGACGTTTGCCCCGCATTCAATTATAAGATACTCTGCGAGTTTTGATGATTTGGCTTGGCAGGCGTGAAAGAGGAGCGGTTGTCCATGGACGTTTTTATCGTTGATAAGATCCTCCAGTTCAAAGTCTGTGAGAGATCCTATCAATCTGAAGACTGTGTCATGATCATTCTGTCTTATACAAGAAATTAATTTGGTCTCCAAGCTCACATACAGTTTTGGTCCCATCTAAAATAAAAAGAAAAATATGAAAGAACCCTGAAACGAAGGTGGGAAGGTTTCAATGAATGTACACGTAAATAGTATAAAAATAGAAAATATTCATTAAGTATTTTTTTATACTTAGCTTTAAACTAAAAAATACTTTAAAACGACGTCTTTATAATATTACTAGCAGGCTTCGCCCGCTCGCTATCTTAATTTTTCTAAGTAAAATAATTATTTTTCTATGGGATTAAATGTTGAAAGGGGTTGTGAACATTCAATATATTTGTTCAAAGAAATATAAATATAGAAGAAATTAGTCTTATGTGGGGGGGGACATGCTTTTTATAGTTAAGGAAACTTTTACAAATTACAGATGCCAACTTGTTGAGGGCTAAGTAAAATGCAAATTTCGAACTTTTTCTATAAGACGATATTCCCAAACAGAACTATTTTTTTTTATATCAAAATCAAAAGAATCCTTGAATAAAAGAACAGTGATGACGGACAGTTAATTAATAAAATATAAGTTTTTTTTTAAATCAATATACAAATTAGTTAAACCTGAAAATTGATATTGCCTAAAAGTCAATATATAATTGAGATATTGATCATGTATCTCGGAGATGACTAAAGTATAGTTCAGAGTGCGCTCAGGGGCTTCTCTGTCAAAGGACTGAGGGGCAACTGAGAAAATTATACTGAAGAGGTACCCAGGACTTGGGAAGAGGTGACCGAGGCCGTGTCCTCCCATTGCACCAGAGGGAGGGATAGGTGCTCGCACCGAGGCCAGCGTGCAACCAACGGCCTGAGGGGAATTTTTGTCCCTTGACCGGGTGCAATGCCGTCGGGCTCGCCACATTAAACCGACCTTGTGTCACAACCCGATCTCGTTGGGGCGGGGTGAGTAAATATCTACTGTAGCATGTAGTTTTGACCCCCACCTTTTTAACCTCAAAATTGTGTCGCAATTTAGCTATTTCGCATTTATTCATATTTTTGTAAGTCTATGAAATATATATGTAGAAATATTTTATGTAAAAAAAAAAAAAAACTTATATATATATATATATATATATATATATATATATATATGGTAGAAAATATTCGTTTAAGCGTGTTTTTTTTTTTTTAAATAAAGTAGGTATAGGTTGTGCTTAGGTTTTAAAATATTTGTATTTCTCATTTTCCAGCGAACTCACCCCAGAACCTAAATAAAATACATGTATGAAAAGAATGAAAGACATAACCTGGTAATTTTTCTGCGAAAAATTGTTTTTCTATGGGATTAATGTCCACTCTGAAATGCTGAAGGAGTTGGGTAGTTCAATTTCTTTGGTCAAAGGATATGACTAAAGACAAGAAATTAATTGGTCGGGTGTGGGGTGGCAGGTTTGTTAAAGAGACTTTTAGAAATAGGTGCCAACTTGAATGCTAAGTAAAATGCAAATTTCAAACTTTTCTGCACTATATAAGACAATATTCCTAAACAAACTATTGATATGAAAATCAAAACCATCCTTGAATAATAAAAAAAGAAGACGCTATTGAAGAACAGTTAAAGTAAAACTTTAAAATCAATATGCAAATTAGTTAAACCTGATTAGTGACATATATATGTTGAACTCCCGTCTTTTATCAACGTATGCGGGTCAAGCAACTCCGTTCCTAGGAGATGATTGCCAGACACCTACACTTATTTGTTTATAGCGGTGAAGGCTTTTTGCAAAAAGCCACACTTTTTGAAGAACCAAATACCAAGACCAGGTGTACAACGTGCCTCCGTGGGTTTTCAATTCAGAATTCATTTCTAGATCAGGTGCCACCCAAGTCTATAGAACTCAGTCTGTCCTGCTATTTACCCATAGCTGGGGGGAGAGAAGAATATCCATGCTTTTCTCAAGGTTATTAGCACGTAAGTGAATATAATGAATAACTGGAATTCAAATTCAGCTTTCCGATTCCTCAATCAGAACCCCGCCTCATATACCAATATCAGATTATGGTAAATAGGCGTTACTTTTTATTCAAAATGTTGTCTTGATTAATCATGGTAAAGCATTCTTTCAGAATATTTGTTTGTTGATATTTAATTCGGGCTAATTTTGAGTTCTGTATTGTCAGCAATTTTCTGCTCACATGCACATAGGGGATTCCTCTCCCTTTAGTAAAGTATGAGGGTGTGATAGATATAGAGATGATGGTAAATTCAGTTTAAGAGAATATACAGAAAAAAAGATTAACGCTGGAATTTAAGTGGTTAAGATTGTAGTAATCGGAGAAGCATTCTCTCGGGAGTCTATCCCACTAAGCAGCGGTTATCAGGAAGAAGCTGTTAGAATGGAACTTCGTTAGTGGTAGAATGCAAGTTATTTTTTTTTTTTACCGTGCGCATGTCGTGGTGTTTCTAAGTAGTGAAGGTCTGAAAGGGTGGAACGAAGGAATAATCTTGTCAGAATATTTGTCTGAGACAGAGTAGCAAGAGGCTTACTGTGTTTGTTCTTCGGGATACGGTTTGTATAGTGAAGAAAACTTCACTCAGAAGCCCAAAATGACGTTTCTGAAATATCAAAGCTGAAGTGTGAGGGCTGGACAGCTCGAATCTAGATATGGCAGCGGAACTCCGCTTTTGGTTAGATATTGTGTATAACAGGCGCATTCAGATACTCGCGTTGTAAGAAGAACAGAGTGATTTTATAGCATTTTTAGCCAGGGTCCGTATATACGAGTTAGACTTCAGGTCTAGAGTGAACCAGAATCCCAATAAGCGTTTATCAAGGAGCCTCCCCGAGAACAACCTTTCAGAATAAAGGAAAAAGAAAATTCAGGTCTGTTCGATGTTAGAACGTTTCTACTTCGGTTTTGGAAGTAACTCAGAAGTACGGTACAGTAGCGTCAGTTGGGCACAGTTTGCGAAAAAAAAAAAAAAAAAAAAAAAGGTGTACCATGACGCAATTCACTCCACCAGAAACTTGGAGACGTCATACAGTACCGCTTGGTATTCGCACTGGGAACCCCATTATGGACATTTCAGTAGTTTTTGGAGGTCACTCTGAGAATAGTGCAGAAGATTCGGAAAGAATTGGAAGACTAATTGTGATTAGTACCAATAATGACGACGTTATACCGCCATCCGTTTTCGTTCAACACGGAGGCCTACGTCAAGTTGGTGACTGCTGGAAGACCCTATGCCAAACAATTTCTATGACCACGTCATCCCTTATATCTGGCCACCTAACTTCCCAGACTGCAACCCCCTTGATTGTTATAGGGTTGTAATCAAGCATCCGTTTTCAGTAACAAATGTGAACTGACATGCCGTTTCAAAATCAAAGGTTGCATAACGATTATACTAAAAAAAAACATGCAAAGACAGAGAGAGAAAAATATATGCATGCCTACCGTTAGTTAAAACCCGCTGCAAATGATCGTAAAATTTGATGGTTTAGTGGGACTTTAAATAATATTTTCAGAACTCGGCTATTGTGGCTGAGGGGTGACAGGTTTTATTCTGAGTTCAGTTAACGTCTATCATTTAATTATTATTGTATATAATATACAATAATTATGGCGCATGGCCGGAAGAGGAAGTGGGAGAATCTCCGTCTATATTTTCACCTTTCCCACTCCCTTAGCGAGAGAGCCTCTTGATTTTGTCCAATGGCCAGAATACAGCGGCCTCTCCAATTTGGGGGTTGGACGGGCCTTACTAACATCAGTTTTGTTAAGTTTACTTTGTGTTGAGTTTTATTTTTATTATTGGGTTCATCTCCCTTCCCTCTCATTCTTCATTATCAGAATTATACATATATATATATATACACACACACACACACATATATATATATATATATATATATATATATATATATATATAGTTGCCTTTCAATTTGTAAGGCATGGGGGCGCGTTTTGTAGGTTTCCCCTTGAGAGGATGCCGTATTATGGAGGAGTGAGTGATGACGGACGAATTCTTATGGTGAATGGGGAAACTGTAATGTGTGAATGGGTCGTGAATCAGATTAACTAGGTATAAGATAGTGATGACCCCCTCCCCATTTTGACCTTGTGCCACAATTGTATTTTACATACAATAAATATCCTCCCTTTGTGAGAGAGCTTCTTGATTCTGTCTCATGGGCAGAATACAGCAGCCTCTCTGTTTTGAGGGTTGGACGGGCCCTACTAATATCAGTTATGTTTAGTTTACCCTGTATTTGTATTTAGTTTGTTTTGGGGTTCATTCCCTTCCCCTCTCATTCTTCATCATAGATTTTTATATATATTTTAGTATAATTAAATTTTTATGGCAGGGGGGCGCGTTTTGTAGGACCCCCTGGAGAGAATGCGGTATTATGGTGTATGCAGGATTGATTGGTGACGGATGAGTTTTTGTGGTGAATGGGCAAACTGTAATGAGTGAATGGGTCGGGAATCGGATTAGGTATAGGATAGTTAGTGACGACCAGCCTTAACCCCTCCCCTTTTCGGCCTTGTGCCAAAATTGTGTCATTTAACACAATAAATAAAAAGAGGAAGTGGGGAGAGGCTGGTCTTCACTAATTATCCTATTCTTAGTTAATCACGATCATGACCCATTCATCCAATACAATTGATCTATTTACCACAAGAACTCATTCATCACCATTCAATCCTACATATAGCACATATTCACAGGGGAAACCTACAAAAAAAAAACACATATACTTACCTTGTGTAGGGATCCGTCCCTGCACTGGTAGTGTCACGACTACGACTAGCTTGGAGCAGATCTGACTTGCTTGGACAAGCTATGACCAGCTTAGACCAGCGGCCCGAGTGAAAACACTCGGGCCCCCACGTTAAAAACTGAACTTGTGTCACAACCTGACTCAGTGGAGAGTCAAGTAAATAAACCTACAAAAACACCGCATGATATAAAAATCTTGAAATGACTAAATAAAAAAATATATAAAAATTTCATGAAACATTACTTCCCTCCCCAACATTTCATGAGCGGGCGGGGAAGGAATGAACCCCCGAAAACCTACTAAAATTGAAACAAAAAGAAACTAAAATAAAACAGATGTTAGTAAAATTCGTCCAGCCCTCAAAATAATCAGAGCGGCCGCTGAATTCTGCCGATAGACAGAATCAAGCAGCATATCCACTAATGAAGCGTGAAGGGTAAAATTAAATGACAGAATGGGAAAAAAAATCAAAGTCTGACCCAGCCGAGATGAAAAAAGTGGACCAAAAAACAAACTGGGGAGGTTAGGAATCTCGACATGGATCATAAAACGATTTTCTAAGCACAGCTTAGATGTGGCACAAGGCTGAAAGCATGGGGAGGACACCATGAAGATTTTCTTCTCGTATAAGTTGCATATTTTCCAGTGGAGATATTGTCCCACTTTATTATTATTATCATTAGTAGTAGTAGTAGTAGTATTTTTATTATTATTTTTATTTATTGTTATTATTTTTAATTTATTTTTTTAGTATTTTTTTCAAATAAGATTATATTATCTGTTAACTGATGCAAGGCAGGCCCCCAACCATCAGTAAAATACATTTTTCTTCTAAATCTGAGTGTGCATCACTCCACGGATAATTCTTCACTTTCCTAAAAAGATTAATTTTTGTAACAGTTCCACTGGGCAACCAATGCCAATTTATTTATTTATGTCTCTATTCTGTCATTCCTCGTACCAAGCTTACTAATGACAACTGGTATAATTGTCACCGATTTCAACTTCCAAGATGCGAGTTCAAACCTCAATGGGTCACCGCTGATTACCAACCTTTCTTCCTTTTACCCGATCCTTGTATCAATAGGACCCAACGGATCAATGATTAGACTTATTTTTTTTCTTTTCTTTCATCTTTCACAAATATGTTCTTTTTGTTGTTCTCCATTTTCTTATTTCAAGTTTATGATTGTCGGTCAGTTAATGACCATACGTGATACACGCTCGGGCAATCATGTCTTTTTCGATTCATGACAGACTAGGCAGAAGATTTTCCCGCAGTAGGTTACCGTTTCTATCTGCGGTAGATTGGTTGCCATCCAAGGCCCAGTGTGTCCTGCTATTCAACCCATATCTGTGTGCGTGGTAATAGGAAGTGGATTCATACCTTTCCCAAGGGTATTTGAGCGTAAGTGATTGTAACAAACCCAACTGGATATCGAACTCGGTTCTCTGATTTCTCATTTCGAGTCCTTATCCATTAACCAACACCACATCCACATTGCTTTTCTCACACAACATCCAATTAATGATTTTGGTAACTTGATCATGTTTCCACCTTTTATTCTCATCTTGAGCTAAACGTGGGTACCCACTCACAATATGCACTAGTATTAATTAGTATTAGTAATAGTAGTAGTAGTAGTAATATACATCGATCACTCGCGTCAGTGAAGTGGGAATATGTCAGACGCTACACACACCGCTAAAACATATCTTAAGCGCGTCTTACTGACTGTCCCATCCTGACGATAAACTACATCCGGAAGCACGATCTCTGATCAGGAGGTTTTGAGGAGTGTGGAACAACCTCTTAATTGGTGGTGTTCCCAGGGCCACTCGGACGCGAGGTGTAGCACCTGTTAGGATCCAACTATGGACAAATAGTTGACACTCAAACTGGGCTCAAAACATTATGAAAGTGTAAAAATAGGTTTGAATGCCAGCAATACATTTTTGTAAAAGATTATTAGCAGCAATACATTTTTGAAAAATAATATATTTTTGAAGAAAAAAGTATTAGCAGCAATACATCTTTGAACAAAAAAAAATAAAATACCAGAAACACATTTTTTTAAAAACAAATTATATTGCCAGCGATACATTTTTGGAAAATACCAATTTTATTTGGCATTAAATAAGACATTGAGGTTGATATGCCGTAAAACAAATCAAACCAATATATAGTGTGATAGATAGATAGATAGATTCCCAAAAGAGGAGTGACACTTCAAGAATAACACGGTTTAGGATTCAAGCTGTTGCTAGTAAATTCAAAGCTAACTAGCTCATCTTTTCCTCGAATAAATCCGCGTCTGTGTTTGGCTTAGCCGAACATATCTGCAAACAAGATCTTCTTAAAATGTCCTGATTTCACCATGAGTCACTAAAGATAAGACGATATTTACAAGGATTTTGACAAAGAAATGTTTATTTTATCGTAGAAAACAAGCGCTTATATAACATTCGAGAAGACAACTTTCCCTGTTTACTTATTTCTTTCTTTTTTTTTTCTTACAGTAAATAACCCGACTAATTATTTTTCTTTGTATAAGACGCAACGGTGTATAATACGCATTTTTATTTTGTAGATGTTTGGGAACAAAAATGTTACAGTCATATATTTGAAAGATTTTATTGAACAAACATTCTTGTTTTCATATTAACGACGTTTCGGTCGTAATACGCTCTGGCCTGGAATTTAGAGCCGAACCCTGTATTTCGTCCACCGAAGTAGATTGTTCTAGTTCCCAGTGCCATACCTCTTTCGTTTATCTCAGTTTTCAGTTATTTTTCCTTTTTAGTAACTCAACTCTTCAAGATTTTGTTCACCTCTGCTATGGCCAGGTCGTGATTATGACATCAAAGATGAGAACAACAGTCGGAACAATGCAAATAATGTAGTTATAATACCTCATCTCAGAAATATAGACAGATCCTGAAGAAGGTTGTAGCGTAAAAATGCCGAAATGTCATGAATATCACATCAAAGATGAGAACAACAGTCGGAACAATGTAAATAATGTAGTTATAATAACTCATCTCAGAATATAGACAGATCCTGAAGAAGTTCGTAGCGTAAAAAGACCGAAATGTCAATATTATGACATCAAAGATGAGGACAACAGTAGAAACAATGTAAATGATGTAGTTATGATACCTCATTTCAGAAATATAGACAGATCCTGAAAAAGGTCGTAGCGTATAACGGCCGAAACGTTGTGAATATGACATCAAAGATGGGCAAATAGTTAACCCCCAAACTGGGACTGAAATACTATGAAAGAGTTTAAATAGGTTTTAATAACAAAAATACTTTGTAAAAAAAATGAAAAAGGAAAATTATTACCAGCAATTTTCTTTTTTTAATTATTACCAGGTATAATTTTTGAAAAAAAAATTACCAGCGATATATTTTAAAAATAAAATATTATCAGCAATAAAAAATGTGTTGGCATAAAATAACCCATTGAGGTTGATATGCCGTAAAACAAAACAAACGAAACCAAAGAATACATATTCTATTCATACGAACCTATCCTAAAAATTTTGTTGACATTAAATAAGCCATTCAGGTTGATATGCCGTAAAACAAAACAAAGCAATATCTGTCTATATTTCTGAGAGAAGGTATTATGTACACTATTTACATTGTTCGGACTATCGTCCTCATCTTTGTTGTCATATTTATTACAACGTTTCGGCCGTTGTGCGTTCCATGCCTTCTTCAGGTCGTTGGAATGTCGAACTGAACCCTTTTATTTCGCTCACTGGGATAGACTGTTCTAGTTCTATGTACCATGTCTAATGGATGTCAGTTATCAGTTATCTCCTGTTAAATCCCCTCTCCAAGTTCACCACGGCCTTAACCAGGTATTGAACTCACACTTTTTGGGTCCTGTCACTGGATCTAATTAACGGCTTTATCCGTTGTGCCTCAGGGACCGACTTCTGAGCATGCGCATAATACTAGTGAATGGCTGCAATAAAAATAAAGAAAGAAAGAAAGAAAGAAAGAAAGAACGAACGAACGAACAGAAAATCCGCCATGTTCATTTGTCTTCTTTTTGTGCTAAAAAGAAAAGAAAATTTTTGTTTTTAATCATTGAAATGGGTAAAGAGACCCTTCTTTGAGATCGCCAAGTAATCAGCCACTTCTTATTTATTATGATATATTCTACAGGTAGTCCCTACTTAATAAAATTTCCTATTTCAACGCAGTGTAGGGTATTATTATCAAGGGGAGAGTTATAGATGTACGATACCAGAATACCAATCATTTGAAGGACGTCGTTCGGAGAGCCTTTGAAGCAATCAACAAGGTACAGCTTCGTAAAATATCACACAGGACATGTGCGATATTGTTCTCGTTACTTTTTGGTAAGGGGGTGAGAAGATTTTCGGACCAACCTGTAGTATGAAGAATTCCAGACCATGAAAAATGCTTTTCGAATTTCTCATATGCAGATAGACATCGACGAGACGTTCCTTCTCAATCTGTACGTGGCTCCGTCAGATGGCATTAACGTACCCGAGAAAAAAAAAAGACTTGTAGATCAATACTAAAAAAAGAGTTCTGAAATGATTCAACATATGAGCCTCTTTCTAAATTCTTATCAAGTGACCAAATATAAAAAATTATTTTTTTAATCTATTGCTGGATGGGTAGTTTGATTTGTTTTTGTTTTGTTTTATACGGCTTATCAACCCTTTGAATGTTATTTAAAGTCTGAAAATAGTTTAGATTGTAAAAGTTTTGGGAGATAATATTGATTTTCGTCCTACTAATTAACAAATATCAAGGAGAAAGTTTCAGATGAACGATACCAGAATACCCATCATTTGTAGGACGTCGTTCGGAGAGCCTTTGCAACAATCAACAAAGCACAGCTTCGTAAAATATCACACAGGACATAGCGCCTCATAATTTTGTGTCTTGAAAATGATTGTGTTCATGCAAACCTTCTCGATGTGTGACAGCGTCAATGAATGTGAATATACAGAAGCCAGTATATGTGTTTCGTATTGATGTATTAATTGTTCTATTCTTTTCATTACTTTTTGGTAGAGGGTGACAAGACTTTCAGAACAACATGTATTTAACTTTACGAACTTTCTTAAGGAGAAAGTAATATTTGATCAAGAAAAGAACACTTCTATAATTTAAAGAACGCCGTTCGGGTAGCCTTTGCTGTAATCAAAAAAATATCACACAGGATGTGGTGCCGCTTTACTTTTTGGTAGGGGAGTGGCAGGACTTTCGGACCAACTTCTATTTATCTCTACAAACTTTCTTAAGGAGGAAGTGATATTTGTTTAACCAAGAAAAAAACTATCTATGAGTTATTACTGTTGATATAATCTCAACAGAAAAATTCAGATATGAAAATTAATTTTATCTATCTATCTATCTATCTATCTATCTATCTATCTATCTATCTATACATACATACATATATATATATATATATATATATATATATATAATTGATGTAAAACAGACCACTTTAAGGTACCATTACAATAATTTATTTCACCAAAATTCTTTTTAAAGGACTCCGGATCATCAGGTAACAATTCCAACAACGAAATGAAAGGAAAAAATGTTTTTTGGTGAAATAAATTATTGTAATGCTACCTTAAAGTGGTCTGTTTTTCATTAAATATTAGCTCTGTATTTACATTGAGCTCTCAGGATTTCATCCTCCTTGGAATTGCCCATTCGGTTTACCAAGTTCTTCGTAACGTAACTTATATATATATATATATATATATATATATATATATATATATAAGTAATTATACTCGTCTGGAAAACGTTTGGTGTTTTGGCTTGTAAATGAACAAACCAATACCCAAGGAAAAATAAGGGTCAACAAAGAACTAAGAACATGTAATTAAGGCGAAAACAATCGACCAGAATCCAAGCTCAGAGTCCAAAAAAAAAAAACCTCCAAAACGAGTAAAGCAAAAGTAACTAACTAAAGTGATCAATACACTAAGTAGAGCAAATCTAACTATGAACCTAAAGAGCCAGGTAAACTTACCTAGGTTTCACCTACGCGGATCGTCAGGATATGGCTTTTTCTTTTTTATTATTAAACCTTACATTATTTTTAATCTTTTTTTTCCGGAAGGATGCAGTTATTATATTTGTGTTTTCTACTAGGAGAAAAAAAAGCCAAGCCTTAACAATGTTAACTAGGAACAAGGCCACAATATGCTAACCATATTCGGAAATTAAAAACAACTCTGCAACACACTAAAACATACACATAATGCACACAATCAAATAATCTGAAAAATCGAATCATCCTTTATAATGACTAAAGGTAGAGCCGAAAGCCCTCGGAACTATAAAAAATTTGGACAGTTTTTACACGCTCTTTGTCCAGAAAAGAAAGCTCTTGTTCGAACACTAGAAAAATTAAATAAAAAGCTTAACCGTAGTACCTTGTCTTTCGTTTTTAATGAAACATGCATAAACGAGGCATTGCTGCTTAAATATACAACTATATATATATATATATATATATATATATATATATATATATATAATTTAAAAGAAAAACAGACCACTTTAAGGCTCCATTTGTAATAATTTTTTTCAACAGAAAATTTTATTTTTCTCTGGATCTTCAGACTTCACTTTCAAAAGATGAATCGGAAAATGAATTTAAAATTGAAACTTTTGACGGGCAGTATTAAGCTTATATAAGTTGACATAGAGAGTGGCGAGGAATGGTATGAGAGACATGGTCAAGTTTAGAGAGGTAAGGAAGACTTTTAAAAGTTTTTTTTTATATTTCTTTTTATTATAATAATTAATATTAAACTTTTCTAACTCTATACTAAACATCAAATCTGTTACGAAAAAAGAACTAAACAAAATGAACACAAAACGATCAGCTTTAAAAAAGGACTCGCAACTGGAAAAACCGAATGAAAAAGAATGTTAACAACAAATACTTTTTCACATCCAACCCAGTTCTGCGGAATCAGAATCAATGTTGAGTTTAAGTAAGCGAATGAGCCAATTGGAGTAAAGTGCCATGCAGATTTAAATTATTCCCACTTGTGACGAATGCAGCTATCGATTATTTTTGCATGCTAGTTAACATTCGTGTCAGTAAGCTGTTGGCTCTCACGCTGGCCAATAGAATCTTCCTGCCTATTCGTGGCAGCCAGCTATAGGATCTCAGTCTGGCCAGTAGAAAATGGCCGCAAACTACATGAAAACTGCCGTAGAAGCATGAAAAAATCGATTATTTCCACTATCGATGTGAGTTGGGAAATGCAAAGTCGGTCTTGGCATTCCCACTAACTTGGGGCATGTGCATGTAAATTTTGGTGCAAATCCGTCAAAATTTGCGGCCGTGCATTCGTTACACACACACACACACACACACACACACACACACACACACACACACACATATCCTGCCTTTTATAGATAGAGATTTTTATATTATTATACTTCATGCATTTCAGATCATAAAGAGCAATTTTTTTAGTAAACTTTATAAACGTTAATAGGAGACCTGTGTACATTTTGCTACGTGAATTTATTTTAAATTGATCTCCTTACAGAAGTTAAAACATGCTTAGTTATATGAAATATGAAATATTTTTTTAAATACATAACATTTTAAAAAGCTTTGAAATTAATAATCAGTTCTTTTTTACATATTATTATCAATTCCCCCTCATCCGCATTCCGAATAACATTTTAAGAAATCATATGTGTACGCGTTATATTGTTAGGTTTGCGTAGATGGAGAGCTCAGTTTATAATTTAGATAGCAAACTGGACAAGGATTAAAATGTAAAAAAGTTAATAAATTATTCGTAATGTGGAATGTTTAATATAAAATGATATGAAAAATATGTTTGAAAATGGTACCAGTTTTTGTTGTATTGCCATTATATATATATATATATATATATATATATATATATATATTTAATTTCGATAAACGTGCAATCAATTTACAAATTCATGAATTATTCACACAAAAACAAATGCAAAGGTTAATGATTTAATTGGCGAGAAATCCATTGTCGCAAACAATTCAAATAATATACAAAAACCTCCGAATCCGTTATGAATGAAAAGATCCTTGTTTCTATAAATTTCTGCCGCATTAGTTCTTATTTTTACTATAAGCTTTCGTCTGTTCCCACAGAAATTTATAGAAACAAGCATGTTATCTAGCGTGTTCAATATATATATATATATATATATATATATATATATATATATATAAACACTACATATCAAGCACCTTTCTCATCCACACAAGACAAACATGCTTGCAGAGGTGTTGAGTGCTCAAACTTATATACACACTCACACAAATATACACGCACTCCCAAAGAACTAAAAGATAGCATACACTTAACACACACATCCCATTTCCAGCAACAAATAAAATTATCAAAATGACCAAGGAAGGAATTCTTACTCATGAATCTTCCATCCTCTCTCTTAACAAAACAACTTAAGAGAGGCCGTTTGACCAACACAAGGACTGGCCAAAATTAACGATAAAAAAAAAACAAATAAAAAAAAGAAAACAAATGAAAACTAAAGATAAAGTTCAATTTCTTCAGAAACAGTCATTCACTCCTGTAGTTCACTGCTACTAATAAGCAGTTTTTTTTTTCCTGATGATGATCATGCTGCCAAAAACCAGTCGAAGAACCTATTTGAAATAATAAAATAAAAATATTAATATAAAACCCAGTGTGTCTGAAAATTTTAATTTTTATTATTTTTTCATTGTTCAAAACACATACACCCACACACACACACACATATATATATATATATATATATATATATATATATATATATGTGTGTGTGTGTGTGTGTGTGTGTGTGTGTGTGAAAATATATAGAAAAGAGGAAAGAACATGTTAGGTAAATAATCCGAAGTTCTTTTAGTATTTTTGTTTTTATTTTTAAAAGACAGTGCTCAATTCAAAAGTAGAGCCTAAATTATAATTATTTAAAAAAATATTATTCCTTCGCTACGGGTAATGGATAGCGGCTT